GAGATTCAGAAAAACACACCGACCACAGATTCAGACCTGTGGATGAAGCTGCTCAACAACACAGAGAGAAACTTCTGGAAGCTCTGGAACCATTAAAGCAGAAACTGGAGCTCCAGAAGAAAGTTCAGTGTGAGTTTGATCAGACAGCAGAACACATGAAGGTCCAGGCCCGACACACAGAGGGGCTGATTAAGGAGCAGTTTAAGAAGCTTCACCAGTTTCTAACAGAGGAAGAGGAGGCCAGGCTGGCTGCACTGAGGGAGGAAGAGGAGCAGAAGAGTGGCATGATGAAGGACAAGATGGAGGCTCTGAGCAGAGAGATAGCAGCTCTTTCAGACACAGTCAGAGCCACAGAGGAGGAGCTGAGAGCTGAAGACGTCTCKTTCCTGCACAACTACAAGGCTGCAGTGGAAAGAGTCCAGCGCTGRCCCCTGCTGGATGATCCACAGCTGCCCTCAGGAGCTCTGATAGACCAGGCCAAACACCTGGGCAACCTGGCCTTCAACATCTGGACCAACATGAAGGACCTGGTCTCCTACAGCCCCATCATCCTGGACCCAAACACTGCTTATAGAGAACTGGTCCTGTCTGAAGATCTGACCAGTGTGAGAGCAGGAGACAAACAGCAGCTTCCTGATAATCCTGAGAGGGTTAGTAATTTCTTGTCTGTTCTGAGTTCTGAGGGTTTTAACTCAGGGAATCACAGCTGGGATGTTGATGTTGGAGCCTGTGAAGTCTGGAGACTTGGTTTGTTACCAGAGTCAGTCCAGAGGAAGGGAGACACACAGTCTAAACTACATTACTGCATATTTTAAACAGGGGGACAGTCCTGTTCTCAGGAAGAGTTGTAAACCATGGAGTTAAAACTAGCTTTGTTAGAAAACAGCTTTATTTTTTATCATGAATAAAACAGGTGATTTATCGTGGAAACATGTTGCAGATGTTTCAGTTACGCAGATCAGTAACAGTGCAGCTTCAGTCTGAACAAGACAAATGGCAGATTTGGGCAAATTGTGTACTAAAAGATAACTTGTAGAAAAGCCCTGAAATAAAAGTGATTTAAATAAAAAATATTATGTGTATATCAGTTGCATTGATGAGACATGAGTTAAACTGTGGCTAAACGGTGGTGGGGYCGTATGTGGGCTCAGACAGTGCAGTGGGTATTCAGGTGGATCTGGATAAAGGAGCTGGAGCATCTGGGGGAGAACAGGAGACACTCAGCTCCTTTAAAGGCCTGACAGCTCTCATGTCCATCTGTCAGCTCATTTAGTCTCTGTCTCCACTTCAAGGACAAGACCTGGAACAGATTATGRAGAACWGAGTATTAAGTGACTCATTAAGGAGCTCTGAATCTAATCTGAGCTTTTTAGTTAATTGTAATATTTCATCAGCTCGCTGAGTTGAAAAGATTTGTTACAATAAACTAGAAAAACTTTGGCACAAAAAAATTAACAAAGTTTATTTTGTAGAAATCCATTAATAGAACAAATGGACTAAAAGTCTAAAACGCTCCAACTTTGGACTTAAATGAGATGAATCCATGTTAAAATTAGGATTTATCAGGATTTAAAAAAGAGCTGATATAGAGCTGAAACATGTCTAATATACAAGCAGGACAAAAATATGTTTTATTGTTTTTCTCCTCACAGCTGATTTAAAGCTGTTTATCTCTATCAGGGTGTAGTTTATAATTTCAATGGAACAGAATAAAAACAATCTAAACAAACACAGCCAAAAAATCTTTAGAGAAATGTAGTGGAGTAAAAAAAAAGATTTTAAGAAAAAAAAATGCTGCTGTTTCTCAGTAATCCAGGTAGAAAAATACTTTACTTTACTACTCAAGTACAAATGTGAAAAAAATTGAACGACAAAGTGGATGAGGACCACTGGGGTGAAAAAACCTTAAATCTCAGAATTTCATGTAAGTACATTTCTCTCACATAAATTCAATTTTTAATGCCCACCTCTGTTTGAACATACAGTACACACA